ATTTTTTTTTAATTAGAAAAGAATAATATTTTTAAGGAATGAAGTGGATTTTATTTGCCGTATAATTTTTTATATTTTTGTTTAGCCACTTTAAAAGGGAAGATTTATTTTTATAGATTTTACCGTTTACATTATTGAAAAGAGAAGAGAAAGAGAAAAAAATTAAAATAAAAGTATTATGAGTTGCAAAGGGGATTTTGGACATAGGATCCTGTCACRGTCGCCATATGTGAGATTATAGAGTTTTTTAGGCCCTATAAACCACCCACAATATAAGGGGAACACTTACATCGTGACCAGCAGGCCTAACCGCGTTGTTGACCCGAAGGCCAAGTAGGTGGAACTTGCAGGCTTTTATACACGCAGTGGGAAATKAATCCCAAAGATTTATTTAAAAGGGAGAAAAGTAAAAAATACTATTAATAAAAAAAAATGTGACAAAGTATAAGGTAATCATATGGTTATATTTTACACGGTTATAAGTAAATGTTGTGTTTTAAACAACATGAATAAAATAATATAACATTAGGTACATGGCAATTGCAATTCAAAAAATATATAATAATTTGGCACATGGCGAAGTGCATAAAGTACAGGGGAAAAATATATAATAATTTTGCACATGGCAATTACAAAGGAAATGTGATGGATAAAAATAAAAATAATCATGCTACGGCTCCGGCGAGCGGTTACCGAGCGCATAATGATCATCATATGTCGGTATGACATACATCTAACATATTACACAWTTATATTTATAAAAGGAAATGACCCACGGCTCCGCATGACGGTTACCGGGGCACCTCTTAGGAAAATCGGAGCATACATAAAAAAGAAATGATGGTGATGCATAATCAGAATGAAAGAAAAAAGGGAAATGTTGGGGGGGAAATAATACTTGACGACGACTGTTTGTACTGAGCTGATGATGTTGGAGATGGCTTCGCCCGCCACGAGCCTATGACGTCGCTTCAGCCYATCATGGTAGTATTCCGCCGATGGTGAAAACAAATAACAAGAATTTCGAGTCCGGGAGACGTGTTGCGAGAGTCATTGGTGTTGAGCAGAAAAAAAAACGAACAGGAGATCGGTCATCGATGGTGGCGAAAAACAGACAGTGCGACAGTAGACGTCGGTGGCTGGTCGTAGGTCATTCCGGCGTCTTGAGATTATTTGGTAGAGGAGTGGTCAGTGTCGTCGCGTGGGGAACTTTCGTATAATATGTATAGTTGGGAAACAGGTTGCCCTGTCCGTATGCGCCAGCGGCTGCGACCGCGACGCCCAACAGCAACGGCGGCGGAGCGCCCGCTGCGACATCGACGCGATGGCCACTGCATGTGGGGGAGGTCAGGGGACTATTACATGACAGTGTTTTTTGTCATTATAATATTTAATGAGCGCATACATAATAATAGAGATTATGGAAATACTATTAGTTATATAATAAAAGGACGTGGACATATTATAAGATTATAATAATGATATTATGTAATTTCTAATAAAAAGTCTCAAAATTCTGTGACGTTACAAGGTAATATRACGATAAAATAGGGTTATTAGAATAAATAATTAATAGGGTTATATTTGTATTTGAAAACTTGAAGGAGCTACTGATTGTCCAATGCAGCAATACAATTTAAACGTAATTTTCAGGATAAAAAAATATACGTATATATTTTTTATCTATTTATATAAAAATGGAGCCAAAAATGTATAACAATTCTTCAATTGAGAACAGCTCGGCTGATTTCGGTAATTTTTTTTTTTGTGATCATAATTTATTGTTGGGAGAAGGATATTATGAAAGAATAAATTGAGAAAGTTACGATGTTAGAGAAATGTGACGTGATGGTGATGAAATTACAGCTGCGCTATCTGCTACGTAAAAAATAAATTAAATAAAAATAATATGGTGGCATCTGTCCAGTAAAAAGTAAAATTAATAAATAAATAGATAATACATTTATTTAAAAAATGATCGTGTCAGAATATCAACAAAACTGTTTATTTACTTGCCAGAAAATAAAACAAATAATGTTATAAAAGTTTTAGAATAATAAACATTATGTTTCTTGGGAGTAATTTTTTTTTTCAATCAGATTTTACGAATAATCAATTTTAATTTTGTTTCAGGAGGAACTCAGTCGTGTTTATATACAAATGGGAATATTACGGGATAAAACTATATGTAAGAAAAACCCTCATATATCTAAACGAAAAGGTGGAAAGAAATTGCCACATAGACGATTTTCATTACAGGTAAATTAACTGAACCAGCTGAAACAAGGAGTGGGAAAATGTATTGTTTCGTTGAATAAAATAAAAACAAACTGTTTTTTTTCTATGTTCTCGGAATGGTTGTAGAAGAAAGGAAGCAAAGACAAGGTATGCAACTTAATTGAAAAATTGGCGTACTGTTCTTAGGATCAATTTTCTCATATTTGAGTCTATAATTATAAACCTAATTTGTATTCTAGTCATCCATTAAAATTCGAAAAAAAAATAAAGAACTAGATTCTTCTGAAATAAGTGAAACAAATGAGACAAATGAAATCTCTAAATCTCCAGAAGACTCTGTGGTCAGCAATGAAGACGTTCCTACTGTTGGAGGTGCATATGGTATTTGTAGTTGTCATTCAACGACAGGGATACATCAGACTGCTTGCAACGAATTTAATGACAGTAATGGTAAGATATATTACATTATGAAGGAATAAGTGTCACAAGTACTAAAAAATCTAATAATATATTTAACAGAGTTAAACTTATGTTAATCTCATTATTTATGAATGTATWAATAAAAACAAACATAACATAGGTTACCGGATAACTTCAAAAAATAGTATGTTCTAAACATCCCAACCACGAAGATTTTATTGAATTTTAAGGAATTGGATAGGGGCAAAATATTCTTACACAAAATTAGCGAACGAATAACTTTGAAAAAAATATTATTATTTAAATTCGAAGTGACCGGCCACCAAATACTGACTGCCTATGCCTCCATCAACACATAAACGAAATCAAAACAGTATTCGCATTTCAACTAAACTCGCTCTACCAATTCTGATGTGATAATAGTTAGTAGCTACTATTGTTGTAGATTTGCTATGGTGGAATAAAAACTATGTGATTACTGAAGACAATTTTAAAATATCAGTCGCTAGTAGAATTCTCTCTTGGTTTTCGTATRAACATCCAAGATAGAATGAAACAGGGAAAAGCTTCAGTACTTTTTAGTTTTTTGATTTGAAAATGTCAAAATGCCAAATCATTATTTGTGGAAAACTGTATGTTTCAAATTAAAAACATCATAGGTGTTATAAGATTATCAAGGAAGATTATAATAAAAATATGAAATTTATGAGTTATATATTTTCACTAAGTGATTAAGCATAATTTACAAATGTATTAAGTAATASATAATTAGAACCTTAAAGTGTTGATTTTTTAAGATASTATGATCAAATATAAAATAATTTATATTAAGTATAGATTATACTTAATAGTATTATAGTATTAATATACATAGTTAATTTCGTTAATCTATTTTCCTAATTCACATCCTCACAATGAATAAGTATGTACCAATATAATATATATATTTTGTTTATAATCATTATTTCCATATTTATTAGATAACAACCATGGTGAAGGAACATCATGTTCAAAATCCAACGAKTTGACTTGAAGTTTTTGGCGTAGGTAAGACTATACTTGGTTTTATTTGAGTTAAGAGATTAATATTGTTAGTATAATTATTTTGTGTATTGTTTCAGAGAGACTACAATGTTCATGAAATAAGATAGTTGGATTTTATGTGCCCAACGGCAGTTGTATAGATGTGTTAGTATATTAAACATTTGTTATAGATTAAATAAATTCTTACACTAATTGATGATGCACTTTTGCTAAATAGTTAAATTCTGATCGAGACGAAAACCAATTTTAAACAAAAAAATTACTCTCAAATTTACTATCTAAATCAACCTTATGTTAAAAATTACGATACGAAAAATGATTATTTTGAGGATGCCTTACTCATATTTGTTGTTATATGCGCAACATTTTAACATAACAAAATTACATCCAGTAGTTCACGATTAGCATTGGTTTCATTTTTAAATTTTAAGGTGACAACAATATGTGTGGTTTTGGATGATTTTTTTTGATGATAAAATTTTGAAAGAGTTTCAAATTGAATTTAAAATAGAAGTWCCTAGGTAGTTAAACATTATTTTTACAACATAAACTGTTGAAGAATAGCATTTTGTGTAATAAAACATTAAATATGTTGTTTACATCCTATTAGAGAAATGTTTCAGGTCATAAATGAGTTATGTATCGAATTTCAATGCATGTTTACCTGTGTATTAAGCGGCTAGTGTTGATATCATGTAGATGAATTACCTTTTACCTAGATAGTTATCTGACCTTGATAAATGATGTACAAGTTATCTAATGTAGAGGCGTCATTTCAGATTTTTTMTGGCATGCAAGGTTTTAAGTGGGTCATTTTAAATTGTCACCAGACCATATAAAAATATATATACGTATATACACACTATCCTGTTCTTGATCATTTATATATATCATAGACAAAATCATCGCAGCAACATAATTATAATCAATTTATATATCATTATTTTAAATTTAAATGTGGATATTGGTGATTCTTAAGTTAAACAAAAATATCTAGAGCTTCTTTTAGATTGATGTAGTTACATTTTTTTTCAACATTAAGTATCATTCATTTAGCTATTCATCACCCATTGTAGCGCTTAAATATGACTGTTGAGTCAACAACAAGWGTTGTCTTGTGAGCGTGAAAGAACCTTTCACTTGATGCCGTTGTATGAAATTGATAAAGTTGTTACAAATGAAATTATATTTAAAGTTTCTACAAAAGCGAAAGTAAAATCTTTCTAAATTTATATAAATTATAAAAATAATTTTTAAATCGTGTATGTGATAATTTTCAGTCTAGGGTACACCATAACGAATATTTTATTTAACCATTAATGCGATTTCACCATGCTTTTACAAACCATTTCAGAATCCTAAAAAAAAGTTAGTTAGGTTATGTATTAAATTATTGAAAGGATTCTAGTGGTTGCCTTTGTGATTGTGTGAATAATTCGGTTCCAATAGGGTAGTCCTAAAATAGTGCAATATTATAACTAAAATAACGCATATAAAAGTAATTATAATATTAATTTTATACCATTTTAAAAATATATATTTCTCCAAACAGTACGCCTTTCCAATAAGTTCCTATTTTTACCTGATATTATATTGTGAATAGTTACAATTGACATAAAACTCTTTAAGGACAACATTATAAATTAACATATAATGGAAGGAGGTTTCTCGTCAAAATCATGATATTTTTAAAATAAGTTTTGTCATGCATACAATACATTATCATAGTTACTAAAACTAATTTGATATTATTATAGGAGGGTTACCTTCTTATAGAATATATCTACTTTCATTTTTTAATGTACCATACTCCTAAATCATAATATATATATATATATACTACAGTATTGTCGAAAGAAAATAAAATTATGTATTTTTCATATCGTAATTTATAATTATATACATTGTCAGTATTATTTTATACTATTAATATTGTCAATATAATATATTATTATTGAATAAATATAAATCATAAGCTTAATAAATTTATTTTTTTTTAAACTTCTATGTTTATACAATAGGTATTGTAAAAAATCGAAAGTCTAAAAATAAAAAAATAAAAAAATAAATTTAAATAGAAATACGAAATTACTTTAAGAATAATGTGTGTTTAAACATAAACATCTTTAATGGTTTAASATTCCTTAAAAAATATTCTTATGATAACGAAAAACTATATCTGTAGGTACTTATTCAAAACAATCATTATTATGACCGATAAGTTATCAAGAATATAAATTAAACATTTATCAGTCAAGAAAAATAAAGTTGTGTCAATTTAACAACCTAAATAATTATTGGTATTTTCGACCATATAGACGCGGCATACGGTAAATATCTTGACGCCAACATCATGTAGYGTGTTACRTCACGTTTGGGCAATAACGCCGGTCGGCGGCCGGACTTCAGATAGTATTCTAGCTATCCCAATAAAATATGATTGATTAATGGCTTACTTACTCATTTTAATTCTTAATTTTTTATTTCCTTACTTTAACACTAATTACTATTTATCTATCTATCTGTGTACCTCGGTTTTTCTCCTATTTTACGAGTTATTAATTAAAATATAATTATTAAATTAAATTTACCAAAATGATATATTTAGAACTAGTATATTGTTACCTCATTGTAAACTCTCAGATTAATATACACTTTAAATCATAAAATAGCAAGGCTGGGCAAGTTAACTATTTTTTTTTAACTCGTTAAGACAAGTTAATATAGAAAAAAGTAAGTTAAGTTTAAAGTTAAAAGTTACCTCTATTTTTTTTAACTTGCAA